AGAGCAGCAGCCCTGCCTCTCCTGCCTCTGGGCCTCCACCTTTAAATGATGTTCTTGGCCCTGGGGGACCAGTGAGAAGCATGGGAGGCACAGCCAGCCCTCACCATGGGTGGAAATACCAGTCAAGCGTGTCTTAGAGTCCAAGGACAACACTGAAAACTCCTTTAATGACCAAAGTTTAGATATTTGGCTGCACCTTGGATCCTTTTATTAATGTAGAAATTACCAATGGAATTCTATCTGTCACAGCACCTAAGTCCCACTCATAACCTAGCAGGGTGGGGCTGGGCTGGCCCATGGAGAAAGGACTGTTCCAGATGTCCAGGAAGATGGAGATGGAGACATAGGGCGGCGAGACACTGCCTTCCCTTCTGCACACTCCCAGCTCCCCAGCCCTTCCCAGACTTCTTCCCAACTAGGCTGTTTCCAGTCATTTCAACTGGAGTTCACTTGCCTACAGAAGGGGAGGGGCACACAACACCTAACCGTGACCTCTGAGTTTGTTGTAGTAGTGAGACATAGTGACAGGTCAGACTTGGAAAGAAAGAACACCATAAAATAAAGTGTAAGATAAGTTCAAACGAATGGGAAGAGTTTGTTCTAAAATTGCCTGCTAGTTCCTGGTTTAATACCTAGCTGGATAGATGATGGACGGATGGACAGATAGATAAATATGCCTCTTCCCTCCCCCCTCATTTCTATCTCTCTTTCTCTGTTTTCCTAGACTAATTATTCTTGTTTCCAAGTTTCTAAAGAAACTATAGCCTTGACATAAACTTCTTTCTCCCCAGTAAAATACAAACTCAGTTGCTGTCTTGCCAATGTAGTGCACACAGTAGGTCTTCAGGTACTTAGGCCTGAGGGAATTCAAGAGAGGTGGCCCTAGGGACATGAAGAAGAACTGGCCTGCTCCTCAGACATTCACGTTCAACCCTTAGATCAAGGTTGCATATTTGGACCACGAAAATCATGTCACTGACTTGAATTTTCAAACCTTGGCATTTTTCAAGGGTTGAGAAAATTAATTCTCTGCAGCATTTGCTATTAAAAAAAAGTTGTAGGAGGACACTGTCTGTCACATCACTCAAGCTCCCCTTATACAAGTCCTACAGGTTTTTAAAATAATTCCGTGCCAGAAAAATCCCATTTCCACTGAGTATGTGCCATCCATGGAGGGGGGAGAGCACTAGGGGTTAGCTAGCTTTCTCTCTCTCTCCCTCTCTCTCTCTTTTCCTTCTCTCTCTCTCTCTCTTTCCTTTTCTCCCTTCCTTCCTTTCTTTCTTTCTTTCTTTTTGGCAGTACTGGGATTTGAACTCAGGGCCTTGCTAGGCAGATGCTCTACCACCTGAGCCACACCTTCAGCTCTCTTTCCCTTTTGGAGAACATTGGTCTGACAGGGTTTCCCTTGCTTCCCTGACAGAAAGCTCAGAGGTGTTCTAAGCTGGAGCACATCATTGCTGTGTATGCTGATAACACATATTTTCCTTATAGGAGATTTTTAATTTTTCTTACATTTTGTTAGTTGCTATTTTATTTTTAAAATTTGAGTAATTTATTATTCTAACCAAAATATAAAGTATGAAAAATCAGTATATTTGAGTCATTTCAAAAAGAGGAAGTTTCCCACTATCTGATTTCAATTGTTTGGGTGGTACTGGGATTTGAACTCGGGGCCTCATTCTTACGAGGCAGCTACTGTACCACTTGAGCCACTCCACCAGGCCTGTTTTGTGTTGGGTATTCTCCCAGTAGGGTCTTGAGAACTGTTTGCCAGGGCGGGCCTCTCATTCTCAGCCTCCCAAGTAGCTAGGATTACAGGTGTGAGCCACTAGTGCCCGGCTATAAGAATTTTTTTGCTTTTTGTTTTTCTGTGGTGCTGGAGTTTGAACTCAGGGCCTTGTGCTTGATAGGCAGCCATCTACCACTTGAGCTGCTCCACCATCCAGAGTTAAGACGAATAGCAATACAGGCTCCAGACTACCACAGAGATTTATTCAACTGACTTAACAGTGTGCAGTTTGTGTGACAGTGCTGTCCTTTGGTTTATTTCTCTGTTTTGAGAGTGCCACAAAGCACACATTTAAAGAGGAGAAATGTGTTTGTGGGATGCACAGCTGGTGGTGAGAAGTTGGAATAGAAATGTCAAGACAAAGGAGGTCACAGGCTGGAGCTGGAGGTCACGTTCATGGTCTTGTTCTCCCATGGCACTGGGGCAGCTCCTGTCATAGAGCTGTCCCAGAGGCAGGCACGTGCTGTGTGTCAGCCAGTTCTGTTCCTTTGCGTAACTACGCAGGTCACAATGAATGGAGTGGTTTTCCAGCTTGGCACATTGGCTTGAAGTTTATTCTGCCTCATTTCTCATCCCTTGATTGACTTGCTGTGCTGGTTAGCATTCCCAGCCATGGCACATTCTATAGATAACCTCTTAGAACGTTGCTTACTTCATCTAGGACAAAGCCCGGGAGGCGCCATCTTTCCCCTGACCTAGGGATCTTACAGTCAAGGATGAGATCAGGGCTTCATGCGTGCTGAGCGCAAGTTCCGCCTTTGAGCCCTTAAAGTATTTTTTCTAATACCGAAAATACTGAATTTTGGAAAACAGAAGTTGCTAGTCTAACTAGCAATCTTAGCATCAAGAAGAGTGAGGTATGTAGTATTTCCTTTTACACCATTGGGAATTGCCAAGAAATAACAAAAAAGTGCCTAGAAGGAATAATATGTAAACTACTCTGCCGTGTAAAAGAATCCTGAGGCAGGCGGCTTAGGTTTTGCTATGGTGGGTCCCCTAAATCGTCAGGGACCCAGACTTCTTATTTTCTATTCAACTGTCCTCTTAATGGGCTCCTAAAGTGACCTCACTTTGTGGCCCATGATGGCTGTTGAAGTTGCAGCCATGTTGAATGCACTTAGGAAAGCAGGAAGGGAAAAGGGCAGAAGTGAACCCTTCAGTCAACTCCCTCCCTGCCTTTTACGGAGTTACCCCAGAACTGGCCAGAATTTAGTCACAGCTGCAAGCAGCCACATTCCCAGGTGAGGGTCTTTTGTTCATGCCTCTCAAATAGTTTATGAAAGAGTTCAAGATATAAGCAGGTTTCAGTCAATCAATGAAAGCAATACAAGACACTGTATCTTGGTATGTCGTAAGCTTTGCCCCTACCTTTCCATGAATTTTCTGTGAGTTTGTCACTATGGATATTATCACTCATATTCAGTTTACAGACTTGTCCAAGTCTAGAAGAGACTTTAGATATTTTTTCCCCAAGGGTTGCGTATTCCAATTCTTACAGGAACCATTCGGGCACCAGAAATGATGAAAGTGGGCCAGGAGCCAGTGTCAAGGACCATAACAGGGAGTGGTGGGGTCAGTGTTGAGGACCTGGAGACAGCATGTCTCAACTGAAGGTTATCATCTGCTGCCCAACCTCACTCATCATGGCCATGTAAGAATGCTGGTTCCATGTTCTCAAATCTGTTTTTTGGTTTTTCTTTTTTTTTAAAAGAGAAACCCAAAATTTAGATTTTTATCTGAAATCTCTTCGTGTTTATAACTTGGCAAGTAGTCAAGTCAGTTTTTAAAAATGCTAGACATAGCTGGGCATAGTGGCTCATGCCTGTAATCCCAGCTACTCAGGAAGCAAAGATTGAGGGAATTGCAGTTCATGTTCAGTCCAGGAAAAAAGTTAGGGAGACCCCCTCCTTTCAACAAACAAGTTGGGCATGGTGGTACACACCTATAATCACTGCTGCACCAGAGGCATAGGTAGGAGGATCGAGGTCCAAGGTCAGTCTGGGCAAAAAGCATGAGACCCTGTCTGAAAAATAGCTAAAGCAAAAAGAGCTGATGGAGTGGCTCAAGTAGTAGAGCCACGCTGCATAGCAAGCACAAGGCCCTGAGTTCAAATCCCCAGTACAGCAAAAAATAATAATAATAATAATAAAAAGCCTGGTAAATTCAAAACCCACCCACAGGCTGCCAGTTTTTGCATCTTGGGCCTGGTCTGTACTTCATTTCCATGTGGCTTTTGAGTCCAGTGACTCAGGTGGCCTGTGTCTGCTCTGTCCCCACCTCATCACAGCCTGGGCCTTCTGGCTAGTTTGTCTCAGAAAATGAAGTGACCATAAAAGTTTGAACTTGAGCAAGACCACTGAGAAGGCTGAGTTTCTCCTTCACCTGACTTTCATTCTCTTCTTCATTCCTTTCGGAGTGAAGGATTGGAATCCCAGCCCTGCTCCAGCTGTGACTCGGGCCAGCCTCCAGTGTCTTAATCTGTCTTGCACCTTTTTTTCGGTCGCTTGCTTCTCTCTTCCTCTACCTTTCCTCCTCCCAAGTAGCGTGGTGATGAAAAGGAGGGTCTCTGGAACCAGGGCAAATCCTGGATTTGCTACCTGCCGTCTGTGTGACCTTGGCAAGTTACTTCAGTGTCCTAGGAGGCAGAGTCCCTGTCTGTAAGGTGTGGGGGTTAAGTGAGCTAGGGTAAGGGAGGCACAATGCGGGCGGTGTTCCCAGGTTCTCAGCTTGGCTAATCTGCTGCTTTGAAATCACAGATCCTCCAGCACATTCTTGATGGGGGCAGGGGACCCTGGTCCCCATCTCATGGTGAGCACTTAGAGCTTCCAGTGCCCCTTGGTGGCCAGCCTCTGGGACTTCTGTCTAGATCCAGACCTGGCAGGTACTGCAGGAGCCTTCACTCTGGGTCTAGAACCTTCTTTTTGAGCCCACCTGTGCCCCTTTGCTCTTCTTAGTTCCCGTTTTTCCTGTCCTTGCTCCTTCCACTTGTCCTGGAAGGAGCCAGAGAGCCCACCAGGCCTGGGCTCACAAAGGCTTCTCCCAGCTGGTTTGTAAAAATGGCCACACACCCAAGATCATGGCACACATATCAATTCAAGAAATTGCTTTTTGTCCTAAAGACTATAGTCACAGAGAAACGTAGACTGTGCTCATGTCTTGATGAAATGGTTTTTTTCTCATTCTTTAAAACATCACTGTATGATCTTTTCAGCTTTTAGGTTAATTTGAGTACGAGAGCTGACCTGATCAGCCCACCTGTACAGCCCCAAGGAAGATCCTACTCTCACAGACAGGAAGAAGTGACCGAGGTATGTACTGCTGTCTCTCCCCTCCCCTGTGCCAGGAAGCAGTGAGTAGAAGGGAAGGGAAGGACTTGCGTTATTGTTATTTCTCAATTCAGAAAACGTTCCTTCACTGTAGACCAGCAAGGAGACTGTGAAAACACCTCAGCACTGCTGTGTTCCCTTATCAATGTAGGTGACAAAGAAAAACCTCGTACTTTATTTCTGTATCACCAGCATATAGTCAGAAACTCTAGAATTTCTCATAGTTGTTTCATTTGTTGGCTTGTTTTTTCTTTTTAGCCCAGACTGACCTGGAATCCACCAGTCTTCCTGCCTCAACCTCCCAAGTGCTGGGATTACAGGTGCGCACCACCATGCATAGCCTGATAGGTTTTTTGTTGTCATTGTTTTGTTTTTCTTTAAGGCTCTTCACTTATTAGACTTAAAAATCTATGTCAGTGGGCTGGCTCAAGCCATAGAGCCCCTGCCTAGCAAGTGGAAAGCCCTGAGTTCAAACTCGAGTACCAGACCAAAAAAAATTATAGTAATAATCTGTGTCAATGAGCTGCCTCATCTTGGGTGTTTGAGCATGTCTGACTGGCACAGGTGGCGAGGGCTGCAGGCAAGGCTGAGCAGACTTTAGCACAGTGCCGTGTATTTGTTTTAGGTCCCTGTGGGCTTTAATTTCCTTTTCTCACCAAGTTGAGCATTTTCAGGTCCTGAATTGCCAGAGTCACCTTGATTTCAGGAAAGAATTTCTTATTTTGTTTTGTTTTGTTTTGCGATACTAGGGCTTGAACTCAGGGCCTACACTTTGATCCACTCCACCAGCCCTTTTTGTGAAGGGATTTTTTGAGATAGGGTCTTGCAAATTATTTACCCAGGCTGGCTTTGAACCTCAATCCTCCTGACCTCTGCCTCCTGAGTAGTTAGGAATACAGGCATGAGCCACCGGGGCCTGGCCCAGAAAAGAATTCCTAAGGCTTCCCTGGAGTTAATGTTGGCCGGAGTGACCCCAAACCTTTTTTTGTTGTTGTTGATTGTTTTGCCCTGCCTATTCTGCCTCCATGGTTGGCTACCTGAATCTTCCAGAAGAAAGGATGGAGGGGAAGCGGTTGCCATGACTACTGGGCTGGGAACATCACTGGCTTCTCCTTTCTGTTAGCTTGTGGTTTCCCTGATTCTTAGGTAGCAGCTGGTGCTCTGTTATTCTGCTGAGCCATACGGAACATGCCGGGTTGTTGCTGTTGTCTTTGTTGTGGGTGATGTTTGGTTTGATGTGTCTGGAGTGGGGTGTGTGTGTGTGTGTGTGTGTGTGTGTGTGTGTGTTGTGTAGAAGGTAAAGCTACTACAAAGGCTGAAAAACTTTAACTATTAAGAGGAGAGCTTAGGTAAATCAGATCTGCACATATATTTTCTGGACTGCAATTTTAAATTTTGATCTAGTACTTAAACTCAGTCCACCTTAGCCTAATTTTGGATTAATGGCTATGGTCAGGTGCCTTCTGTAGGGAAAAAAAATTTGTGAACTCTATTTCATGTGGCCTTAAAGCCCTAGGACTCAGCCCAGGACTCAGCCCAGGACCACCACAAGCTGGGCTGAGTCTGGACAGGACTCCAGTACTGGGTCCTCCATGAGGAAGGTGACGGAATCAGGACGAGGTGGCTTTATCCCAGCCTGCTCTGAAAATAGCCATACTTGGTGGTCTCCGCAGCCCCACCCATGTTTCTTTCCAAAGTTGGAAAGACAACACTTTGTGGACACCTGGTGTGCAGATGTGGGTGAAGTCTGCAGAGAGATCTGAGTGGCTTAGCCCAGCCCTGCTTCTGCCTTTCTCACTAGTCTTAACCTAGCAAGCACTGGGCACTGAGTTTAGACCCCCAGTACTGCCAAAAAAAAAAGAAAAAGAAAAGAAGCTGGTGGAGTGGCTCAAGTGGTAGAGCACCTGCCTAGCAAGTGGGAGGCTCTGAGTTCAAATCCCGTACCACCAAACAAATTTTTAAAAAAGCAAAACAAGCCAGGCGCCAGTAGCTCATACCTGTAATACCAGCTACTGGGCAACTGAGACAGGTAGGATCAAGGCTCGAGGCCAGCCTGGAAAAATAGTTCCCATCTTCAAAATAACCAGAGCAAAACAGACTGGAGGTGTTGCTCAAGTGGTAGAGCACCTGCCTTGAGCTTTGAAAGAGTGAAACCCTGAGTTCAAATCCCAGTCTCGCCAATAAATAGAAAAGGAAAGAACAAAGGGACACTGTTACTCAGCATTTCCCAATTTGCTTATGTAGGAAATGCTCGTGAGATTCAAGAAAGACACCAAGGCCATCCTCAGGCTGCCAGAGCTTGGGACTGTGTGTGGTGTGTGTGTGTGTGTGTGTGTGTGTGTGTGTGTGTGTGTGTGTATACGGTTGGTGGTGACCCTGTGGACACACAGGGCCGGTCCACAGCAGGACATGTCTCTGCAGTGAGGTGGCCTCTGCTCCCCAGATCAAGATGAACGCCATGCTGGAGACCCCCGAGCTCCCGGCCGTGTTTGACGGGGTGAAGTTGGCTGCAGTGGCTGCCGTGCTATATGTCATCGTCCGCTGTTTGAACCTGAAGAGCCCCACGGCCCCACCTGACCTCTACTTCCAGGACTCAGGGCTCTCCCGCTTTCTGCTCAAGTCCTGTCCTCTTCTGACCAAAGAGTGAGTAGACCCCATGCCTCCATATGCCCACCTGCTGATGGACTGGGTTTTGCGTGATGGTCCAAGAAGAACCTTCTTGGGCTGAGGTAGAGCACTTGCCCAGCATGCACGAGGTCCTGGGATCTACCCCCAGCACTGCAAAAAACAATCAAATAGCAACATCAAAAACCGTTCTGTTATCGCTTCATTAAGGCATTGCTGGGAATGGCCTCCTTGGTGTTAAAATAGCCACAGTTGACACGGTCTGTTGTTTAAATCCTGAAGGCCGGGAGAAAGATCTTTGTTGCCTAGAAACACCCAGTCTCCACAGCCTCGTGGTGACATCCATGACAAGGACTTTGCAGAAAATACTAGTCATTTTTAGGTAGTTTTAGGTAGGTGTGGAAAACTTGGAGAATATTCTAGCCCTTTAACAAACATGTTGCCAGTTCCAAGACAGAGAAACCATCCTTACCCCAAATGACAATTGAGCCAAAGGGCATACACCTATTAGTTGGGTCCTTCCCATCACCATGTTGGAAATTGTCCCCTGTCCTGAGCATTAGCTAGGAGAATGCCCTCAGAGCAAGAGGAAGAAAGAGAGAGAGTGCCCATTTGACCAGGGCCACTCTCCCCACAGAAGCCCACCTCTGTGTCTTGGAGGTGACCGGCTGATAGAGAAAGAAGGGGATCGTCATTCCGGGTCACACATCCACATTCCAAGCTGTGCAGTGTTAGCTTTCCCCCTAGTGATGTTCTGATCCACTGTGTCTTCCTGGGGATCAGCCAGGTCCTTCCTGCAGTGCTACTGCCCTGCTCGCCAGCCTGCTTTCTCTCCCCGTCTCCCATTGCTGCTTTGCCCTGTGCCAGCCCCAGCTACTGCGCTCTGCCCACTGGGCCTCGGAGGCTGCAGCTGTGTCCCCTCGCCCATGGCTGACAGGTTCCAGTACTATACAGACCGTAGCAGGAACTTTTCCTTCCACTCTCTTTGGGGGATGGTGAGACACTGTCTTGTAAGAACAGGCAAATGGGTGACACACATGTCTGTGAGTTTGGCTTCTTGCTCATCCAGTATGGTTTTCTTATGGATCCCCACATGGTGTTGGCCAAGTGAAGTTTCCATATGGGCTTGGGGTGTTTGGGGTGGTCTCATGCAGCTTTCTCATAGTTGTGACAGTGATGCCAGGAACCCATATCCAGAAAGATGTTGCTAGGTCCTGTCCAGTGCTGTGCGCAATGTCATGTCGCCATATTGCGTTTGGAGCTACGCCTGCATGGGGACGTTCCAGGGCCATAGGCTCCACAGCCAGGCATCAGACTAAGTCAGACTAAGGACTGAGATCCTGGATGTCATTTCTGGGGACCTAAACACCAAAGGATGTGTGTGGTAACTGTTTTTTTTTAATTATCTAGTATTTTTCATACTTGCATATATATAGTTATGTATATATAAAACACATATATACACATATATATATATATATATATATATATTTTTTTTTTTTTTTTTGGCAGCACTTGGGTTTGAACTCAGGGCCTCACGCTTGCTAGGTGGGCACTCTACCACTTGAGCCACTCTGCCAGACCTCATACTTGCACTTTGAATATTTCTTAAGTACTTGATTGGACTGGCTGGTGACATTTGAACTCATTTCCAGATTAGGTTAGGACCACTAGATTCAATTCGTTGGTCTTCTCATTTTTGGAGAATTTCGGAAAACCAAGATATTTAAAACCTTGTGAGTTTATATGCAGATAAATGCAAATTTGCACCCGGCGTTGGTTCCTGAGGACAGCAGAGTAAGGAGAGAGTAAGAGACAGAGTAAGGACAGCACAGGGAGGAACATGGCACGAGGTTTGGTTCTGTACCTGCTGTCCACAGTGTACTGTGTCATCAGGTCCGTGGCATCTCCTCCTCTACTTTCTTTTTAAAAGCAACCCAGAAGCTGGGCGCCGGTGGTTCATGCCTGTAATCCTAGCTATTCAGGAAGCAGAGATCAGGAGAAATGTGGTTCAAAGCTAGCCTGGGGAAATAGTTCATGAGACCCTATCTCAAAAAACAACCCATCACAAAAAAAAGGGCTGGTGGAGTGACTCAAGGTGGGGCCCCAAGTTCAAACCCAAGTACTGAAAAAAAAGTAACCCAGAGACAGGAAGCTCCACAGCCTCCCCTTCCCTTTTCCCCTCCCTGGCACACGTTCTCGTTCTCTGTAAGCCTGAGGTGCTGACCTGGTGCCGTGTAACTTCTGCTTGAGATGGCCCTACCCACCTCCTGGTCCCTTGTCCTTGGAGCTCAGGGCTGAGTGTAGATGTGTACATTAACCTGGGCCCAGTGGCATCAGCACAGAGCCCCTGGTCCTTGGCCAGTTGCCAGGTGCTCTCCTGGTAAAGTCAGGATCAGGAGGGAGGAGGTGGCCTAGAGAAAAGGCAGGGCCCATGTCTGTGTAGAAGTTAGCCACAGTTTGAAGGCGCCTGGGAAAAGACAAGGCAACTTCTAAGATCTGTCACTTTGATTATAGGACCAGCCCTGTCCCAGCACGTCGGAACAGCTAAATTCCAAACACTGCAGCCCTCCAACTTGAACATGACCCGTGATGAGAGGGCCAAAGGATCCCCTAACCACCCTCTTATTTCTGAAATAGATTCTGATCTGAGGAGTAGCTCTGTCCTGCGTTCACGTAGCACATCAGAAAACTTTCCGGGTTCCTCTTTTTACCCATATGACTGCATTCAACACTTGTTGAGTCTTTTTAGACATTCTGCCACACAGGCCTCTCATGGCTTGCAGGCTGGATCACTTTTCCTGTCATTTTAAGGACGAGGAGACTGAGCCCAAATTGGAGTGTGACTTCAGAGCTGGGTCTCTTCTTAGCCCTGGGCCGTGCACAGGAAGTTTTGAGAGCACAGAGGCCCAGAGCAGGAAAAGGCCAGCCCTCAGGAATGGTCATTAGCTGGCCTGGACTCCAGGTGCCTTTGATGAGACATGACCTCTTTCTATTTCCATCACTGTGGCGGAAGCCACTGTCATCTGATGTTCTTTGTCTGGGTCACATTTCCTTAATGGCCTCTCGTGTATCTGAAGCTGAGGGCAGGAAGCGTCTGTTGCCAGTAAAAGCGTTTCTCCTGGGACTTTGGGGACTTTGTCCTTGGAGGAGGCTGGTCTGCAGCCCACGAGCCCTGGCCTCTCTGGAGAGCTCATCTGGCTGACGTCCAGCTAGCTGATGGCAGTTCTCAGTAGCCTGATGCCAGCAGGCCGTTGTTAGGACTGTTGCAGATCAGAGCATGTCCTCTTGCTGTTCCAGGCAGGAAGCAGGGGTGTGGAAGGGGGACATCAAAGCAGGCTGTGAGGTGGGGACTTCCCCTCTCTGCATCAAAGTCAGTGGTGATCACAAAATGGGTCCCGTGCTGTCTGGAGAAAAGTTCGCTTCGGTGGGTGGCAGCCTCTTGCTCACGTAGCAATAGGGGAATGCTGACCTGGTGATTCAGTTTTTGTCCTTAAGAAGTGTTTGCTTTCAGGGACTCGGCAGGCCAAAGCTCAGTTATGAACCATTAGAAAAGTCTACGTGGTGATTAAAACAAAAATCACCATTTTTTCTCAGAATAAAATTTTTAATGTATATTCATTTTTAAAAAAATAGAAGATGAAGCACACAAAACCCATCTGTTAATTCTGCTAAACAGAAGTGACATACCATTGCTGTGGTGTCACGTCCTTTTCTTTCCTTTTTTTCTTTTTTTCTTTTTGGGCAGTTACTGGAGTTGCAACTTAGGGCCTCACACACTCAACCATTTGAGCCACACCCCCAGCCCTTTTTGCTTTAGTTATTTTTCAGGTAGGGTCTAATGTTTTTGCCTAGGACTGACCTTGGACTGAGCTCCTCCTACCTATGCCTCCAACATAGCTGGAACTACAGTAAGCACCACCACACCTGGCTTGTTTGTTGAGATAGGATCTCAGTAACTTTTTGCCTGGACTGACTAACCACTATCCTCTCAATCCTCATCTCCTGAGAAGCTGGAATTATAGCCGTGAGCTACCATGCCCGGCCCTCAGCCCTTGGTTTTTTAAGACAGGATCTTGCTTTGTAGCTCAGGCCAGCCTCTAGCTCTTCTTCCTCCTGCCTCAGCTCCCTGGGTCCTAGAATTAAAGCCATGTACCACCAAGCCTGGCTTCTAACATTTGATTGTTAGCAACTTCAAAATTCTTCCATTCATTCACATTTCCTGGTGAATATTGGCAGCAGTGGTAGAGAGAAATGTGCACAGGTCACAACCTAGGCTGTCCACCTCCAGCCCAGTGGGAGTGCCTGGCAAAGCTCCATAGTGGTCCTCAGTTTCCCTCTGCACAGTGAGTCAGGCACTTCAGTGCTGACATCTTGTGGTTCTGAAGTCCCACTTAGGAGAGGGGCTGGAAAGCAGCCAAAGGGAAGGGTTTTCCTGTCTGTCTGTCTTCCTTACTATTCCCCCACCCCCACAACCTGGCATTGTCTCCCCAGGGCATCTTTTGAAGCACTTTTGTAAGCTATTATTTACATCTGGCAAATCGCACAGATCTTAAGTACACAGCTCAGGACCTCTTGCCTGCACATTCAGCTGTGGAACCACCACTCCCTTGGGCTTTTACAGGAGTGTCCCAAGTCCTCTCTGCCTCTGAGCCACCCTGCTGTCCTAACACCACTTGAGTTGGCCTCCTCACGCACCCAAGGCGTGCTGCAGCCTGGTCCAAACCACCTGTCCTACCTGGCCAGGTAGGCCCTGCCCCCTGAGCTGTCTCCAGCTACTTTAACTCCTCCCTCCTCTCTACAAAAGTAACTCTTATCCTATAAGAGAAACTGAAACAGCTTCCACTCAGAGAAGCCTTCCCTGACTTGCCCCTCCCTCCTGCTAGGGTGACCCTCTCTTCCATCTCCCAGCACATATGTCCCCAGTGCATAACTTCTGCGGTTATTCGGCTTGTTTCATCTGGGTTGGTGAGACTTTGTCTCTTTTCCCCATCATGGGAGTACACATACCCCGGATC